CTATGTACAATCTCATCTCAAATCATAGGCAGTAGTTGCAACAGGAAGGAAGGAATAACATGAGAATCTAAAAGATTAGCTAGTTGTCTAAGACAATGAGAACTATAGACATCAAGTTTTATAAAAGCATAATTTTGTAAACTACGGAATACCAAAATGGCAAGTGGTGAATTAAGAGATATTGCAAAAGAATAAATACTCAAAGGATCAGATAGATACAGGTGGAAGAATTGTGAGGTGTAGGATTTGTCACATAACACTTAGTGTAGATGAAAACATCAAAAAACACAGATTGAGACATATTAAAACTAATTAATGTGTGAAGAAAAAGGAACTGATAAACTATCAATACTAATAATTATGTGAAAGCTAAATTTGGTGAAGAAATTTTTGTTTGATTTAGTTTTTCGTTAAAGTTGTTTTGCTAAATCATAAAGGATAATTAAACTGTTTCCCATGGACTTATTTCCTTGTTGAAGATGACATGTCGAATGTATCACCTAGAATCAATGAGTGAAAATGTGACTATTGGCCCCGGTGTACTAAACCTCCTAATAAAATCATGGGAAAAACCCAGGAGGAGCCCCTAATAAAAAGGAGGGGGTGACAACAAGTCGAAGCAGTCGTCATCAACCCTTTTTCCTAAGTGTGTGTGTTCTGAATTGCTGTCAGTCATTGCTACTTCTGCTGCCCAAGAAGCCGAGAAAAAAAGGATTACCCTCCAAACTGAGTTGCCGATCTTTCCCCGATTTGTGCATCGATACGACTAGGACTCACAAATATTTTAAGGTATTTTTCATCTCGCAAACTTACTATGAGCTCTCTCTCTCTCTCTCTCTCTCTCAATCAGGGTTGCATTAGGTTTATCTCTCTATATACCTCGCCTTTTAGCAATTGTACTAAGTGTCTAACTTACTTTTTAGCTATTGTGCTAAGTTTCTGAAATGATTGAAACCTTGTAAATGATATCTTGTAGAACTTGTAAATAATATTTATCAATAAATGGGTATTTTTGTTAAATGTTAATTTGTGGAGTGTACTTTTTCCGGTCACTTCCATCCGCCTCTATTCTGAGTCCTGAAGCCCACAAACGCAACTGCTCGCTCAATGGAATTAGTGGCCAACCTGTTTCTGTGTCTGTCCTGACAAGGTACTGACCCTGGGGTCATAATTACAATCAACCATTCAGTAATGAATCATTTTCATTAAACAGACAACTTAATCAGTCTTATGTTGATATTACTGCTGCATTTATTGAAGCTGATATACCACTCTACAAGCTAAAAAATCCTACTCTAAGAAGTTACTTAGAAAAAATGTACTAGGAGTTGTTCCTGATGAGGTACACTTCAGCAGTTCCAAACTTATTTTAATTGCAGAATCCTTTTTACCCTGATAAAATCTTTTGAAATTCTAATAATATTTACTTATTATAAAAAAAACAAGAAATAAAAGAATCAAAAATACTGTATTGTAGATACAAAAAAAACAATAGATTAATAATGGAAAAGCAAATATTAATTCAAATTGGTAATTAATGTGAAGGATTTTTGCAGACGATTTTATTAGCAGATAATTGGGAGCTGAACTAGTGGTGAAAGAATCTATTGTATTTGATTTTTTTTTTGCGAAATTCTGAACAAACCCTAAATTATTCAAATATACCTACTTCTGGAGAACAGTTTCTCTAACAAGAATGATTGCTTTAGTATTTGAATACATAGGAAAGAATCAAATACATGATTTGATTTCTGACTATTAGGTTCCACGGATTTTATTTTCCATAAATATGAGCCTTGCAGTCTGTGCATAAGTTCCCTTTCCCTATGGAATATTAATAATTTTTGTAAACATTATTTAAATATATTTTTAATACAGATTTTAAATTAGTAATTAATGCTTAAAAACATTGGTGAAACTTTTGGTTTCACAGAACATAAGTTGAGAACTATTGGTCTATATCAGGGATGTCCAACCCACAGCCCACGGGCTGCACCCTAAATTTTTTATGTACATTTTTATTTATTTTGGTAAAGTATGGTGTAAAAATTATTCTTGTTTCATTGGTTACAGTTTGATGTTGTAATGATGTAATCGGTGCTGAAAAACTGTACTACACCACATGTACAAGGTGCGTTCCATAAGTAATGTGACTAATTTTTTCACGACACAATGATATGCCATAGCTAGTTCTAACCTGCTGTGCTAGGTGGTGTGGGGTGTTAGATTCAAAACTTGCCCAGTCTCGTTTGCCTCCAAGCTGCCGGCGTGTGAGGACGTTCATTCCCGTGAACCACATTTTGAGTTAATGTAGCATGGAACTATGGATCATTTTGTGGAGCAACATTACGCTATCAAATTTTGCATTAAACTTGGGAAGTCCGCCACCGAAACTTTTACATTAATTCAGCAGGCCTTTGGGTGATTGCTTCTCCAAATCACAAGTCTTTCAAGGATGGCTGAGAGGAGGTCATCGACAAATCTTGCAGTGGATGTCCATCAACCTCCCAGATTGTCTTCTTTGACGTCAGAGGCATTAACCACCATGAATTCGTACCTGTCAGGACCACTGTAAATGCAGCTTTCTACTTGGAAGTGTTCAAAAGACTGAAATCCTAGTCATGTGCTGCCGAAGTGATATCAAGGATACGCGGAAACTTCATCACGACAACGCACCAAGCCACAGCACCTTCACTGTCAACGATTTCCTGGCCAGGACCCACACCCCATTGGTTCCACAACCACCTTACAGACCTGACCTGGCTCCAACCAACTTTTTTTGTTTCCCCACATGAAAGGGAAACATTGACATGATTGAAAACATCAAGGCTTATGTTACATCAGCTCTAAAGGACATTCCGGAGAAGGCCTTCCAGACCTGGAAACACCGCGTTCACAAGTGTATTGATGCAGGAGGGTGCTATTTCGAAGATTTTTGGAGGTTGCTGAGGAAGGCCCATAAACATGACCAAAACATGTAAAAATATGTCCAATAAATGATTTTTTATGAATTTGGTTGCATTATTTATGGAACGCACCTTGTATAATGTACTGTTGTGAACTATTCTTTTGTGCATGAAAAACATCAAAACTGCTGAAAGAAATAGGTTAAGTGATTCCCATTTAACTAACATTCTTACAATATCATAAAAGCAGATATTAACAATATAAAAGGAAGTCAATGTCAAAAATCACATCGAATTAATTTTTATATTGTGTGAGTATAATTTTTTTACAGTCAATAATACAGTATTTTATTTAATTATATATATATTTGTTATTATTTTGATTAATTTGATATTCACATTGAACTTTTTACAAACATATATTTATATAAAGCACCTTTGTGGCCCACTGAATATATGTAAATTCCTAATTTGGCTCATTAGCAAAAAAGGTTGGACAGCCTGGTCTATATCAATCCATGTATAACTCAAAAATCAAAGAAATTATAAGTGACTTTATATTATGCTAGACAAAAACAACAGATGAACTAAACAGGTTCATTCTCAAAATTCTAGTTGTACTACTCAATAGAAATAGTCAGGCCAATGTTGTTTAAAGCTCACATTCCCAAGAAAACTAATTCAACTACAGTAATGCAAGTCCTTAATAGTATAATGGTAAGCCAGTGACCACTGCTTACAAGATGAGATTTGTTAAAACAGATGAGACAAGTTATATTCTTCTTGCATTTTCATAACTTAGGTCTTGTATCAGAATTTCAAGCATGCTACTTATATAGCTCATGCAATTCACAGAATTTGCAAGAGAATTCGAATTAAATTTTGTCTCACAAATGAATGAATAACAGATTTCAAGATCCTAGTGAAGTGTCTTGTATGGATTCAGATGTACCAAGAATTGACCAATCTTCCATTGCCTCCAACATTAGTAGTGACACACTAAATACGGAACCTGTTACCGGTGTAATTTTGCGTGAAAAAATCTTCCTTTCACAAACGTTTTCGAGCTGTCCAGATAGCTCTTCCTCAGGTATAGAAAAAATTCCGACGGAACACTTCGAAAAATGGAACGTAGGTATTTAAATAAAAACAGGTTCCGTATTTAGTATTTCATCCCCGGTGTCAGAGTGAAGTTTAATTTAATTAGTAGTGACACATTGGGAATTATGGGTTGCTGCTACAGCTTTCTACTGTGAAAACTTTGATCAAATGCCAACTTTCCTGAATGCTTTAAGTGAAGATTCTAAAGCCATTTTAAATATACAGAAACTGTCAGCTAACAGTGACCTCCAGAGTAAACTGTTCTCAGTCCATACCTACAAGAAGTTATAATTAAACTTGGAAGCAAAGTCTAGAAAAAGAAAAGCAATGGAACATTGACAATGATGTTAAGAATAATTTGGAAGGTTTTGCAAAAACTGTTGGCAAGTCTGAAAAAATCTTGATCTTGAGAAAGTTGCCACAAAAAGTAATCTCACACACAGACTACTCACTAAATTAATTGGATTAGTTAAATTAGTTAGCAATTCAATAGATGCTTGTTTTGTTGTTTTGTTATCTTCATTGACTTATTTAAACTAAAAAAAAACATTCTGACTATATATTTTCTCACATTGTTAAATTAGCTGAATACATTGACATAACTGTATTTACAGTAAGTAAGAAAATATATCAATTATTTATAATAGGTTTTTTCAAGTTACTCTTTTCTCATTGTATCTGATGAGTACTTTGGCATTTTGTGCTCCTTCAAATAAAATGTATATCTAAAAACAGAAATTTCAGTGTTTCAAATGATGCATAATGAAATATTACTATATCTATATGATTTATACCAGTGACATACATATCTGGGGGGTTGTTTATGGTGCTGCAGCACTCCCATGATACCAAAGCAATCAGTTTTGTTACTTTAAGATAAAAATACAATACAGTTGAAAACATTGGCATGATTAAATTTTTCATTTAAAGTGTTTTATTTACAATAAATATCATATTATTGTAATTTTTATAAAATATGTTTTCTTTAAACAGAGTTTCTATTTCAAAATGTGATTGAAAACAGAATTTTGGAACTTGGACTGATAGGTCTGTAATGAGGGAGGATTATGGCAAGTAAAGAAGATAATGTTATGAAACAGGCATTTATGATAAAGAGATCACAGAATAAAAAGAGATTGGGACCAGTTAATTATAAATCTCGTTGGTTTGTTTTAACATCTAATACTTTATATTATTATGATGGAAATCAAGAGGTAAGATATAATTTATATATTAGTTTGTACTTAAAAATAAATTTTGTTAAAACTGTTAAATTAAACACATTTCATATTTATTTAAAACATACAACATTTTATAAACATAAATAATAATAATATGAAAGTTCTAATGAATAAAACATTACTTAAATATCATTAAATTTGAATTTTATTAAATTTTTGATTGTCAGGTAATAAAGATCATTTAAAAACTTAATATTGTTTTAACTGAGAATGTTAGAAATATTTTTTATAGCAGTAAAAATTTGACCTTGATTCAATAGTTCAGTTAAATAAATCATCATTATTTTATTCTTATCATTGTTTCTTCCTAGTCAGGAAGAAACAAGATAAGAATGGAATAACGGGTGTGTGAAATGATAGTCTGTTGTAAATTTATATATAAATAAAGTTTAGCCATTAGCAAAGGAAAATAAATACTTCATAATTTATGTCCGGTTCTATTTGATCCTTTTTATTTGATTTATTTAAATAAGTTTGTTTATTGTTGATCATGCAAATTCAAATACCACATTTTAACAATTACAGTCTATGTTGTTATATAGGTGTATCTTTGACTTTTATAATATGTAGTGGACTGTAATAAATTAATTAAATTTAACATTACAAAAACATAATTGTTTTCAACAACAAAACAAATTTGATTTTACTTAATTAATTGAAAAAGTTAGTTAAAATATATTATTACTGAAATATATAAAAATTTGAATAATTCAAATTTAAAGAAAACAAGATTTGTTCTAAACAATACATTTTACAAATTAAAGTTTGTTTCAAAAGTTTAGTAATTTTATTTTCTCTGAATTTCAGAATAAAAGTTTAAGTATTTTTATTGCATAAGACATATAAAAATATCTAACTTAAGTTAGAAAATACAGAATAAACAAATATTGTTTAGAGATCAAATAAAATTTGACAATTATACTTGCCTATTAAAAATATTGCCTTGAAAGTTTAGGTAAAACTAAAAGACTATTTAAAATTTAATCATTATGACAGATATATTAAAGATATTTTTGTTGTTTGAAATAAAAAAAATATCAGCAGTTTTTGCTAACAATGGCAAAGCAAAAATGATTTGTGATTTGAAGAAATTGCAAATATGTGGAAGTTAAAATTGAAAGGTCACATAGTTGCAGAGATTGCAAAGGTTAAGATGCATTGTATGTAAAGTTTATAAAATTATTGAATGAGAATAAGATTTCAGCCATAATTGCTATTTGAATATCCAAAGTTAATACAGTAGAGCGTCGTTTATCCGAAGGTCGGTTATCAGAAACGTCGGTTATCTGAAGAATTCCAGTCGACAAATTTAAATTTTCGCCAGTGCTGTGGCGCTGTAATCTTTGGCTATGTCTTTGGCTACTCAAATATTTTACGTTTTTGATACTAAATTAACTTCTGAAGTATAATTTTTTATTGTTTTTATATTTTTCAATATATTTATTTTGTTTGTACAAAATAAAAAAATAATTTTTAACAATACAATAGTCTTCGTTAGGCTTAACATCAATGAAAATTCAACACGAAGCGACACGCAACGGAGAAAAATTTCAACATGGGATAAATTAATATATTTTTCCGTACATAATTGGTTATCCGAAAAATAAGTTATCCGAACAAGCCCAGTCCCCAATTGATTCGGATAAACGCCGCTCTACTGTATCACATCAAATAAAGACACTGAACACACCTTACACTCTCTTTTCCAGCAATTAACTTTAATTGAAACAAATGTTTTTGACTTGATTGAAAGGCCTTTATCAGGTTTTTAAATAGTGATTCTAGTTTTTCTACAGACTGTTTTAATTAAAGTTATTGCTGGAAAAGTGTGTAAGATGTGTTCAGTTTCTTTATATACTCTGGTAGTTCCAGCTTTGACTATTATGGATAACATCACATCAAAATGACAGAAAGATCTTAAGACTTGTAGCTTCTCAAATTTATCAATTCAACAAATTTTAAAAGAATCTGAATGCAGAATATCCAAGGACATGGTTTACAGAAGGTTAAAAACAAATCCAAATACTGTGCTAAGAAAAATATACTGCAAACCTCTTTTAGCATCTGAATGTTATAAAGCAAGATTAAAATGGGAAAAAGAACATATATCATGCAAACATGAATACCTTTCAATTATTTTCAGTAATGAAAAATGTGGAATTTAGAAGGCTTGGATGGTTGGAATTATCATTGGCATAATATTAGAAAAGAGCAAGATCATTCTATTATCATCAACTTGGTAGTGAATTATTTATGGTATGGGTAGTATTCAGATTTAATGGAACTGTTAGTTTAGTGTTTTTAAATGGACATCAGCATGCAGAAAACTACTAAATAACTTTAGAAAATAATCAATTGTCTATTGCTGAATTAATTGGGAGGATCTAACTGGATATTTCAATAGAACAGCATTTCAATTCATATCTCAAAGTTTATGAAAAATTGACTTAAAAATGTTACTGTTATGAAGGGTCACCTGAACTATATTCAATTGATAATTTGGGAGTCATGACCTAAGAAGTTTATAGTGGAGGAGGGCAGTTTTCTAATCTTTCTGGGTTGAGAGTCAATAGAATAAAACAGGTGAAATCTAAAAGTTTACAAAAATTTCAGCTTTGAGTGGAGCTTTACAAAAATTAATTTTCTCTGTCCCAAATAGAAATTTTGAGATTATAAAAGCAAATGGAAAAGACAATTAAACAATGGAAATAATTTTCAAATGTATATACTATTATTTAGTGAAAATTACCTAAAATTTTGAAACAGTACTGTTATTTATATTTAATTATTGTAATTTTCTTGTGAAGAAATTTACATTTATTGTTAATTCTTTTGTATAGTTCAAAACAATTGTTCTAAAATACATGTATTATTATTAAATATATATAAATTTACTTTCATTCAAAAATTTTCAAAAAATAATGTTACATACACTTTTCAGACTGACCTTGATTAAAATAAACTACTTATGAAAGAAAATTTATTGTTTATTATTCAAATGACATAAAATGTAATTAGATTTTCTTAAAAATATTGATAACTGATATCACTATAAAATTAAAGTTGGAAAATAGCCATTTTAATAATGTTCAGGAGACAGCAATCAATACTAACTAAATCAATACTAACTAAAGAATTTGTTTAAAGAATATCACAAGTTTTTCTAAGACTTGTGTATAATTTTAAACATACGAGGCATGTTCAGAAAGTAAGTGTACTAGATTTTTATATTTTTTTAGAAAAAATGTAGTTGAAAATTTAATTCCACCCAAGTGTGCCTTTAGGGAGGTGAAAATATGATAATTGGAGGTCTTCAATAACAGTTTCTCTGATTTTTTTGCACCAACTCATCAGTCAAAATGGAAGGTCTTCCACTCCTCTGTTTGTCATGAACAGAGGAGTGGAAGACTTTTCATTTCTGCCTCCACTAAACTTCCTACACCACTTAAACACACTCGTTCTGTTCATAACACCTTTGCTGTAAACTGTTTTGATTTGTGAAAAAATTTCAATAGGTGTTATTCCTTCTGTGAGTAGGAAGCAGATCACAGCACATGGCTCACACTGGGCAGGATTTCTTACCGACATCTTTCATGCAAATGGACACTACAATGTGAGTTTACGTACTACTATGTTGATGCAATGCTTGCTCCGTCAGGAGATCTCTCTCTACCACTTAGTGTTGCCAACCCTCAAAAAACAAAAAATCACAGCCTGTTATGGTCACAGTACACTTACTTTCTGAGCATGCCTCGTAAAAATAATAGGTTCTACTGACTAGTTGTATGTTAAGTTCTTATTACAGTTAAATTTTTAAAATTTATTAATCTAATAGGGATTTCAAACTTTCAAACTTTTTTATAAATATTTAAATATACAGATTAGTCATGGAATTAGGAAATTAGTTGCATTCAAGAGATATTGAATATTTAACTTTGAGATGATCAAATTTTAATGCAAATATTGCTTAGTCAAAATTTTGGGATCAATACAATGTTTACTGTCTATTTCCATAATACTTATCTTGCTGTATTAATCTGTATATACTGCAGCATTTTTTGGTATATTTGCTCTAATAGAGCTTTATGTAATATAATTATTTATTGAATGCTCTAGTCAGACTTAATCTTCACTGCTGCTATCCCAGTATGAGTTAAATTTATAAAAAAGATACAGAGAACTTATCTAAAGTTATTATTGTTTGCTTCATATCTAGTTGAATCTGTTATCATCTTTATTGGCTACATGGTCTCCTTATTATTAAATTTGTCACAATAGTTGATTCAACAGACAACAATTCAGACTTCTTTTAATATCTTTTATTTGAAATCAATATGCATTTCAGACCTTTAATTCCTTTTCAGTTGATTTTTTACTAAACATTTTTTGACATTATTATCCTATATTTATAATAATTTAACCTTTTTCAACTTGTTTTTCTATAATGATGATGATATAAATCTTGTAATTGTCATCTATTGAATTGACTATTGTGAAAAATTTAGTAATAAAGAACTAAGTATCCAATAAAGTTATCTAGACTTTTCTACCTTCATTTGTTTATTCACATAGATTTTTTGATTCTGGATAGTTTTCATCTATTGAGTGTAAAAAAGTTACTTTATTTCACTGTGATATTTACTTTTATTGTTGTATAAAAATTAAGATCATAATGAAATAATGAACAAACCTTCCTATTAATAGAATAGCAAAGTTTGTTAACAGAAGTATAACAATTTTTTTTTTATTATTACTCTTGTAGCTGCAGAAATTAAATGCATTGATTGTAATGTAATTCTATACTTTTCTAGAGTGTAAGTTCTCTGTTCCAAAAATACACTCCAGCGTATACAAACGATAGAGAAATTACAGTAGATTTACTCTGTTACTGAAGTATGTGAGAATCTAATGAGAACACATTTTAATGATGTATAAACAGATTTTCTTATTGTTCTCACTTGAGAAAGCAAAGC